GCAATTGCGCACAAGGTCGAAAGTGGCTCGCATACCGTGCGCGTGCCCTAACCTGCGTGCAAAACGAAGCTCCGCTTCTCGCTGCAATCCCTCTCGGAGGAGATCGAGGAGGAGGCGAGGGGGAGTCTTACTCACATCTACTGTGCAGCCCCAATGGTCAATCCACTGGGTGCCTGATACCACTTTCCAGCCTGCACGACGAGCCGACAACGTGGCACGCGCAAGGGGGCCACGGCTGGACTTCCAATCGCTAGCCTCGCTAGCCCTGGCCTGCTCCCAAAGCTGAAGCAACTCCTGGAAAGGGATCAGGGATCGATTGGGACTGACCTGGGCATTCCACAACATGCGACACCACTGGAGAGCAGGGCCAACGGCAACTCGTGTGTCCCACTCTCCGTACAAAACGAGTTTTGCCGTGGCACTGGTCCCTCCATGGGAGGGCGGCAACCGACGAGCCTGGGTCCTTCGCACAGTGTTAAGCTCAGCATCCGAAAAGCCCAATACCTCAGAACCGTACGACGAAGCAGGAGCAACACCCGTGCGAATGACCTGTGAGAGACCTTTCTTGGCCTCTTTATTCGGAGCTCGGGACTTAAACCTGCCGATCTTTTTCACTCGCAGCTTCATTCCCCAGAGGCGGGACCGCTGTTTTACACGCGCACGAGCAGCAGAGCGCTTGGCACCAGCGCTGTCATCTACGCCAAGATATGTGACCGATTGCTTCGCAACCTTGGGCTCAAGCCCTAAGCCACACACGACGTCGCGTGCAAGTGAAATATCGCTGGCAACAACAGCAACTTTATCATTAACTGCTGCATTTATCTGCCTGCTCGCGTGATAAAAGGCACGACCTGCATCGACTGCTAATTGCACCGCACTCTGTCTCTGGCCACAGGAAATCTGAATGCCCGAGTCATCAATATACGATGTGAAATTGACTAGTGTCGGCTGGCTAGCAACAAACTGATCGAAAGACTTCACAGCATGCACCTTGATGCTGATATCATTGAAGCAATCGCCTGCAGGTAACCCGAATTCGGCATGTGCGACCCCTTCAGAGTGGTGCTGTCTGAGACGTAGCACTCGAGGAGCCCTCCATACATTGAAAACGAGTTTCAAAAAGCAGTGGGTACTTTAAACGCAAGAAACTTGTCCCGAAGTTCCACAAGGGGGATCGTTTCGTAATATTTCGAATAGTCGGCGATAATGAGCACACTGTAGCGGCGCGAGACTACGTCAGCCTCAGCTCGCGCTGCCTGTGCCCAGGCACAGTCCACAGAACTCCTCCCCCGACTAGCCCCCCAGTACCCACGCTCCACCTCCTCCATAAGCGATCCTAGCATAGGCCGCCGCAGCCTTTGCCAGATGCGATACATACCGCTGTAAAGCACTATGAGCCTATGCCCAGACGACGGTTTAGGCAGCATTGGCATGAGCACCCACAGCAACTGCTTAGGTAAGAGGCCGATCGCCTCGCAACACTGCCACAAACCTGCTAGCAAATCTAATCCGTCGTCGTCGAGCAACAACAAATGCCTCGGATGAAATTGTTCCAAGGACCTAGCGGTAGATTCCGAAAAACTCTGGATCACCTTACGAACCTCACTCGGAGCCGCCCTCGGGAAACTGGACCGATCGGGAATCCAGGCAACCGGTGGGGAGGCGGTTGCTCGCCAGAGCTTGCGATAAATCTGCAGCTCATGCTGCGCGACACTGTGGGGATCAGCACTGGGGCCTTTAGGGTCATGCACAACCGTAGGCAAAACAACACTCCGAACCTTCGTGACCCTATGAAGGCCCCGCGCTCCCCCCATGCTGGCAGTCTTGCACCAATCACTCCAGCTGGTCTGGATCTCTTTTGATGCACCTTTGACGGCCACAGAGAAGTCCCCAGCAATGTCTTCGAGTAATTCTTCCACATTCTCACGAGAGAACTCAGAACACAGCATCTTGCGGGCCTTCTGAACCGAATTATCTAAACGAGCGCTCAAACCGAGCCCTGGATAGTCATTATCACGAAAAACCGCCAGCTCGGCAAGCATCGTTTGCTGTGTATGCTCATTCATGTCATCTAAATCAGCTAACTGGCCTAGGTGTTGGACTGCGTTGCGAAGCCACTGCCACCCATCAGCTATTAAACATTTTTCAGTGTCGTCTGGCACGGGATATTCCACATTGACCCAGCGCGGTGCAACTTGGCGCCCGAAACTGCCGAAGGTATCTTTCGCGCCCCCAGTGCAAGTACTGATATGCCGTGCAGCGATCTGGGCAAACTTGCCCCAACTGGTGCTAAGCAAGTGATGCACTACCCCTGGATCGGTCTTCTCATCCCCCGCCATCTCGACACAGCGCTCCACCAAACCCCTCGCAGGACCCCAATCTGGCGGCGAGGGTTGAGGACCGAAAGGGGGGGAAATAGGAAGAGCAGGGGCAACAGTATACACTAGATGCTGCACTCGATATCCCTGACTGGCTATAGCGAGCTGCACGGGTCTATGGGGCCTGATCGCCCATCGCGTGTCTAGCTTAACATGTTTATACGCACGCATGCACGGATCATTCAACCCGAAAAAATCAATAATCGAGCTACCCGTACCACCTCGACAAGTGTATAGCTTAGTAGAGACGAGGGTGAGACGAGCAAAACTACAGAAACCTGAAGCCTCGACCTCGTCAGGAGACATATTCCAATCACCCCCAACTATACAGGGACCGTCAATACTCTCAACTACTGCACCTGCTGCTGCCATCAACTTGGCGTTCTTGCCCTGAGGGCCTAAGCTGGGATACATGTACATATTTATAAGATGTAGGGTAGGCCACCCTGGAAGATCAAGTTGCACGTGCGGCACGCGATGCTCACACACCTGATGCACACCGAGCTGTGGCGCGCGCACACCGCACTCACTGCGCACGAAAACAGCCACACCTGCACTGGGCACGTTGCCTGCTGAGGGACAGGAAGGCAACGCCATAAGACTCCATCCTCGCACTTGTGCCCAACTCTGAATGGCTTCAACCTGATCGGCCACGTGACCAAACTCTTGCACAATCACGACTAACGCTCGAGTGACTTTGAGCCGCTTCTTGAGCGTACTCTTGCCTCCACTGCAATTGAACGTTTCAATGACATGCTCACCAGCGATCTGCCCTACTTCAGGATGCGAGGGAGGAAACGCAGCTGGTCTGAAACCTGTCACTAGAGGCAAGAGGAAACAGTTCGCATCGTATCTGTCCTGTTGAGCACAAGCTCCCTGGGCTGGGCGCGCAGACATCGTCGCAGCGCCCTCAGAAGTCGGTCTGACAGGGGAGGCGCGGCTGGCGCACTCGCTCCCCTCGCCGCCAGGAGGACGCTCAGCATCTGCAGCGCCAACAACATTGGTCCTCGATGATCGAAGGGAGTGTTGGCTGACCACTACCCCCTCCGACGTAGTACAACCATCATGCGCAAGGAGGTCACCATCACCCCAAACGCGCACGCTTAGCCGAGTAGAGCTCCTCCAACTTGGCAGTGAAATCCTCGAAGCTGTTGGAATGGGCCCACAGGTTCTTCCGCTCTTCCTCCGAGAGTTCACTGAGTTCATTGTTACGCTTTTGACTGGCTGCATCATTGCCTCGTGCGGCGCTAGCTGCGCCGTCATCTGCACCAGGTTGGGCTGCTCCACCGCCGCCACCATCACGTTGACCATCACCAGGAGGCGCAACACCCATGCCAGCATCAGGTTCGCCCTCCTTGGGCAGGACGCGGATGTGCTCCTGCAGCTTCTTCCAGAGATCGCTGTTGAGGAAAGCCTCAGCCTCTGGATTCTCAGCCTTGAAGGTGTCGACGTCAAGGAGCAACACTGAGCCTGGTTCTGCTTTTCCTTGCTCGCCTCCTTCTCCACGTTCACCCTTCTGTGATACCAGCTGGGCAGTCCTGTCGAACTCCGTCTGCAAGACCACCAGCTGCTCCTTCTTTGCCACCAACGACTGCTCGCGTTCCTCGATGGATACACGCAACTTCTCGTACTGCTCACGCTTGTCAACCAGATCCTTCGACATCTGCTCGATCGCCGCCTTCGCCTTGCTGAGCTCCTGGGCTGCACGCCTATGAGCTGTCTGAGGCGGCCGCATCTGCTTCTGCTGGTCGCGCAAGCTGGACAACTTCTTCTCCATGCTCTCCCGTATGTCTTTGAACTCATCATCCTTGGCCATAGACTTGATGGAGGCCTCCAGCTCTTGGACCTGAACCGCAACTTTAGCTCGTCGCCCTTCATCAGTGTCTGGAGCTGCCTCCGCCGTCTCAGCCGCCTTATGCTGTGCCTCACGTTGCCACGGTGGAACTTGAGGTACGGTACTCGTGGTACTCGTACTGGTACTCTTTGCCAGCGATGCCACGAGGGAGTCAAGCTTCTTTTCCAGCGCGCCGAGCTTGTCTCCTTTGCCACCGCCTTTCTGTGGCTTGTCGCCACCCTTCCCTTTACCACGGGCTTTGCCACCACCGCTCTCGAGCTGCTGCAACACGACTTTGTGGGCAGTGACTGCACGTGCACGAATGTGGGCTGGTGCCGAGCGCCCGCACTCGCACTTGATCCTCGACGCCCAGTTGTGCAGACGCGTGCACGAGCCACACGCCCACTCTGGCTTGCGTGGGCCGAGCAGAACATCCCACTCCTTGTCATCAAGAGCGGGGGCCATCCGCTGACCACACTCAGACGAAAGAAATAGCTCCTGCAGGAGCTCACTGCTGAAAGCTTGGCCGAGGCAGCCAGGCCTTGGGAAGGGGCTGCCCTTCCACCTCGGCCTCGAGCCTCTGGAGTCGGGACGGGAGGTAAGCTCCGTCTTGAGCCAAAATGGCTACGGGGAGGAGGAGGAGGAGGAGGAGGAGGAGGAGGAGGAGGAGGAGGAGGAGGAGGAGGAGGGGGCGGCGGAGCGAGTCGGGAAGCGGGTCGCTGCGGGCGTGGAAGGGTCGACAACGGCTGGGGCGGGAGAATAAAACCCAGGGGGGCCATGGCGCAGGCGTCCCCTCCTCCCAGCCCCCACGCTGGCGATCCGCGAGGCGCGCGCGCGGGAATCCGGCCGCTGGGCAGAGAGGACCCAGACCCACCCGCGTCGTGAAGAGATCGCGCGGAGAAATCTCGGACCAGTTTCGGCCTTCGTGGGCTCGCCAGGCCACGAGGCCTGAAAGGAACTATCTTGGGACCAAAAGCTGGTCATGGGTTCTGGGTAAGGGGGTCGAGACCTCGTGGGGCAGAGGTCACGAACATATTTGCGACGTCGGTGAAAAGCCGCCGAGGATCCACCCCTCTGGCGCCGTGATTTTCATAACGTGAACACCCACGAGTTTGGATCTTTGCCCCCGGATCCGTTTTTCATGCCGAGTAGTTTTGTTCACGGTCTCGGGGCGTGGCCAAGGCCCCCAGAACCCGAAAACAAACAAAGCATCTCCATCACGTATTTTTTCCCCAGCCGGAGGAAGTCTGGGGAGCAGCATGCGGCGAAGCACACAAGGACATGGAGGTTGGACCTCGTGCAAGAGACGCCATGTCGCCCGAGCCCTGGGCGAGGAAGGGGGCTGGCGATGGCGGGGCTCTTGGCCTTGGGGGCTCGGTGCCTGGCTCGCGCCTTTCGAGCACGGAATTTCCAGAGCTCTGGTCGTCGGGGTAATTTTAGGTCGGGCGTGTCCCCCTACAGGGGCATTTGGATGAAAAATCAGAAGCACCCGAAACATATTCAAACATAGTCAAACATACGCACAAAATCGTCCCCAAACTATGGTTGGACTACTTTTGAATATTCCCCCTGTAGAGGGATAGGCCCGACTTACGGTAAGTGAGTGCAGCTCCTGTTGCCCGTGTTCTCGCTGCTGACAGTACAACAGCATGAACGTCAACTTTCGGAGGTCCGCGCTGATTTCTTGGATCGGCGCTGGACCCCTCCCTGGCGCGCGGAGAACGCCAGGGGCGGCGCCGGAGGCTCCGCCAGGGAGGCTCTGCCAGCGCCGATCCAATAAATCCGCGCTGAGCTCAATCAACACATGTTTATGCTACTGTCTTGTTCTTCGAACCTGCCACCAACCTGCTCAGCCATTTCCCCGCCAAAAGGACCCCTGGAAACAACACATATCAGAGCCATGTCCACCACTAGTGACTGCCGGACCCGCCGCCAATCAGAAACATATAACTCGCTGGCCCAACGGGCTAGAGGCGTGCTAGAATCTCTGGTAACATGCCACTTGTACATCTAGTTCGCGCGCGCGCGTGGCGGCCCCTGGAGGTCCAGAGGTGGTGCCTCATAGCGTCCCCGCGCCTGCTTTGCGTACACCCTTACGCACTTCGTGGCCCTATCAGGGAGCTCCACCGAAGCCCCCCGGAGGGGTGGTGCCACAGAGCGCCCCCTGGCCCACTTCGGCACGCCCCTCGCACCTCTCGTGGCGCATCGGGAGCTCCAGCGGCGCCCCCTTGGGGTGGTGCCGCACAGCGTCGCCCAGCCCATTTCGGCACGCCCCTCGCACCTCTCGTGGCGAGCCGGGAGCTCCAGCGGCGCCCCCCTTGGCGTGGTGCCGCATCGCGTCCCCCGAGCCCGTCCCGACGCGCCCTCGCGCGCTTTCCGAGGCCCCGCCGCGGGGAGCTCCACGGCAGGCCTCCGCGGGCGCGTCCACGTGCGGGCCCCCAAGCCTGCTTCGGCGCACCCCGGACCTGGCCATCGCTCGGACGTCCATTCCCTGTGTTTGTTTTGGTTTGACTTCGTGCGTTTTTTTTTTTTTTTTTTTTTTTTTTTTTTTTTTTTTTTTTTGCCAAACGATCAAGGATGCTCCTCGACGGTCCTCGCCGAAAAAAAAGCACACGTCCGAGCGATGCCAAGTGACGCGTCTCGTGGCACCGTGAGGAGCTCCCCCTCCTTCGTCCCGCCTGCCTCGGGGGTACCCGCGCGTGTGCCTGGTTGGGGCCTTCGCCAGGATAACTTTTCTGCCGAGGTGGAACGTAGAAGTGGATGGGGACGCGGAAACGTGCAGCTGACGACCGAGACGACGACGACGCCCACGAGCAGGCCCGAAACCCGATGTACGAGCAATCGCCGAGGGCGCGGCTGCCCGACGCCCCCTCCTCGAGGCATCCCTTAATCGTCGTCCTGCGCTGCTCCAGCCCCGCTTGGAGGGCCTGGGCTGCGCCCGTCCCCTCCCCCCTGCCGCCTTCCCCGAGCTCGGCGGCGAGCGAAGGGGGGGAGGGGGGAAGCGAGAAGGGGCGGGCCCTCTCAGAAAGCTCAGAAGTCCTCGGGCCTTCTGAAAAGAGTTGAATTTCTAAAGCTCCCCCGGAGACACAGACAACCTCTGAGGAGGCCAGGAGGCTTCTGAGAAGACCCCCCCCGCCCTCTGAGAGGGCCTCCTCCTTCTGACTCCTCCCCCCGCCCGCCGCCGATGAGCGGTGCACCCCACTCCTGGCCAGGTTCACGTCCGCCCTGTGCTCCAGGAGCACGTTGAGGACCTGCGCGGGGGCCCGCGGCGGGGAGGCCATGGGCCGAGGCGACGCACGGGGCAGAAGGCCCACCCTCATGTCACGCACACGTGCAGGCGAGACCCTTCCGCAGGCGCACCTCAGGAGGGAATCGAGCAAGGCGGGGCTGTGCAATAAAGGCTCAGGGCTGCTCAGTAAACGCCGCTTGCGGGGTTCGGCATGGCTGTGCCTGCCTTGGACAAGGGCGGCGAGGCAGCGGCCGGGCGAAGAGGCCGGCGTAGGGCAGCGTGCAACACGCGTGGCCTGCGGCAGGCTCACGCCGCGATGATGTCAGCGTTGGTCTCTTCCCTTGATGTACTGCCCCCACCCTCCCCCCTCGTACGCGGAACAATGGGAAAGAGGAAATAGGAGGGGAACAAAGAGGAGGAGGGGGAGGAAGAGGACGAGGAGGAGGAGGAAAAGGAGGAGAAGGAGGAGGAGGAGGAGGAGGAGGAGGAGGAGGGACGAGGAGGGGGAGGAGGGGGAGGGAGGGAAATGAGGAACAATTCAGTTCAATTCTCCAGCCCGCCGAGACCGGTTTCGGGTAACTTCGGGAAACACGTTTCTGGCTCGAACTGTGGCTCGATAGACTCTGCTACACCGCACGTTCCGTCAGTTCGCCGTTCGGCAGCCATGCTGCTACCTGCAACGCCTGACTCAAAACAACTTCATAGCGCTGGTGCAGCCACTGCGGAGGAGAGGGGAGAAGGCCGCACGGCGACGAAGAGGGGGGACCCCAGGACCCGAGGCGGGCAAGAGAGGCGAGGCAGGGGCGAGGCAACACAGAGACAGGCGGCAAGTAGCAGGCCGATGGCCTAACACGAAGAGGCCGAGCACGGGAGCGCGTTCGCAGGGACTCGACCACTTGCCTCCGCGGTGCTTGCCTCCCCCCAGCTGGCGGCGCATGCTGTCCCGAGGAACGCGGTTCATCTTGACGTCGCCGCCCACGCCTCGGAGAGCTTCAATTCTCATCTGCTCGACTGGAATCCGTGCCCCTGGGATCTGGTACACCTCAGTGGGGATATCGACCGGGCCGATCGTGAGGCCCTTCGTCTGGGTGTTGGGGTCCTGCCGCTGCTCCTTCAGCTTGCGCTCTAGCTCTGCAGCGGCCTCGCCCTCGTAGGGGACGAATCTGCTGCCGTGCAGCGCGTACGTAATGCGACTCTTCGGCTCGACCCCTGGCTTGTCGTATGTCGGTAGCGCGCGAGCCTTCTGCAGCCTGCCGAAACCGCTCTCGTCCTTGGCGAAGTATCTTTGAACTTGTAAGTCCCGATGGCTGCGGCAACTGCGAAAGGGCTTGGGTTGGGACGCGGGGCCTGCGAGCTCTTCACCCTTGTTTTCCTCGCTCTTGGGGATTTTCGGAACATCCTAGAACGGATTGTAGATCGCCTCAATGGCCGACGATTTGCGGGCGATCTGCGCTGTGCTGAACGTTGCGTGCTCGAGGCTCTCCACCTTCGTCTCCAGCTGAGCTAGTCGTGCATCTCGTGTGTGCTTGCCCTTGCATGACTCCTCGAGCAGGTCCTCGTCTGTGTCCTCCTCGCCCCCCTCTATCTCTACCTTATTGCCCTTCTTCGCGGCCGAGCCTAATCCGACCATGAAACGCTGCCCTCGTGGCCTCGCCAGTACCGCATCTGACCCTGCCGCTTCCATCAAGACTGACGTAGAAAGAATACTTGAGGTTCGACCTCATATTCAAACACATAAGCCCAGTAAGGTGGCCTACGGCGTCGAACTCCTCAAGATCAACACGGCAATTGCGAATATTGAAATCGGCAATACCTGCTTCAAATCTTCCTTTATTGTATGGGCACGGTTGTCTGACCAAAATCCTCTTAGTATGCTGCTGTGCTACTGTGCGATCTCGACATGCACGACCACATATAGTACATGTGTTTCGTAGGTGTGCACATCCTGGTAATGTGTAGCTGTCCGTGGGTACCTCCCCTAGCAGACGCGATCTGTGTGACAAGCTGCTTTCTTGTGGACCATCCGGTACAGCATCCAGATATTCGAAGCAGACGAAATCACCTACGACTCCATCAGCCTGAGACCCCTTATTGTTGGCGGCAGAAAGGAGGAAGTGCGCCCGAAACTCGCTGACATCGAGCATCTGAATCTGCTCGCACAGCTCGGGATCGAAAAGAACAAGATCCAGACGATTGCCAGCATTGGGCAATAGCTTCTCGCCAAGCTCTATGGTACCAAGAAAACCACTATCCCGCTGAAGCCGGAGTGCCCGAGGACGCCCTTGAGGAGGAACTCGCCCCTATTTATCGTAACTTCACCGTCTACTGCCATATAGCCTAGCATTGCTGCCCAGAGCTGAACATTTTTTTGCCTCAGAGCGCTTCTGATACCACTGACGCCTCCGCATTCTCAACTCCAGGACAAAGAGGAGGCCCACTCCAAACTTCTTGAGAACCTGGTGGCTGGTGATGGTCTTTGCGTGCCCTGAGTCCCAAGAGCACGTCCCTTCCAACATTGCTCGACGCTTACGTACAATGAACACTTTCAGAATCTGAATGCCTCTAGGCGTTAGGGGCCCCTTGGACTTGGCGCAGACTTCCATTGCAGACAGGGCGCTGTTGATCAGGAGGCCCTTCACGAAGTTCACCTTGAGCTTCCAATGTGCCGTCGAAAACTAGAAACTGCCCATCTTGTAGGGGCTGACTCTTGGTGACACTAAATGCTTACCAACATCTGGAACTAGAGACACATAAAAACGACATGGCCGCCAAGATACAGAACATGATGCCGTGAAGCTCCTGCTATTGCCTTGCATTCCGGCCTGTGCAGGAGCCTGGGTCGTTGTGCGCTCCGCGCCCGACGGGAGGAGGATGAGGAGGATGAGGATGAGGATGAGGATGAGGATGAGGATGAGGAGGAGGAGGAGGAGGAGGAGGAGGAGGAGGAGGAGGAGGAGGAGGAGGAAGAAGAAGAGAGGAGGAGGAGGTGGAGGAGGAGGAGGAGGAGGAGGAGGAGGAGGAGGAGGGCGGAGGAGGAGGAGGAGGAGGAGGAGGAGGAGGAGGAGGGGGAGGCGGGGGAGGAGGGCGGAGGAGGGCGGAGGAGGAGGAGGCGGAGGAGGAGGAGGAGGAAGGAGGAGGCAGGAGGAGTGTGGGCCGCCCACTCCTTGCGAGTGCGGTGCGCAGGCGCCCTGCCTGGACGAGAGGGCCGCCTCGCCTCCTGGGCGAGGCGCGGCACGGCGGGGCCGCCCGGGAGAGCCCAGCCGCCACGGGCCCGCGTGGCACGGGCGTGTTTTTTTTTTTTTTTTTTTTTTTTTTTTTTTTTTTTTTTTTTTTTTTTTTTTTTGTTTTTTTGTTTGTTTTTTTTTGTTTCTCTCTCTCTCTCTCCTCCCCCCCCTCCTCCTCCTCCTCCTCGTCTTCGTCCTCCTCCTCCCCCTCCCCCTCACCTCTCCTCCTCCTCCTCCTCCTCCTCCTCCTCCTCCTCCTCCTCCTCCTCCCCCAACGAACAATTGGGGGAGACGAAGCGCCGCCACAGGCGCTTTTTTGGGAGGGGTTCGTCACAGCACCAGTGGCACGTTGCCCGACGGCTGCAACTGCTGGTCGAAGTCGTGGCTGGGCTGTGCACTGGCGAGCATCTCCCTGAGCAGCCGCTGGTCGGAGTCTCGGGCTGGCCTGTCTTCCTTGTGAAAGTTGAGGCGCGTGTGCGTTCACCCAGGATCTCGTCCACGCTCGGGCGCTCTCTCGGATCCGGGCGTCGCAGAGCAAATCGAGGCGGCTGGTGCTTCCTACGTTTTTCTCCCAACCACCCTGTGCTGCTGGGTCCTCGTTTCGAAGAGACAGCGCCCCGCGTCTCACCTCACCTCACCTTCCGCGCTTCTCCCCTCCCTGCCTCTGCTCTCTCGCATGCCCATTTCGGCGCACCCCTCATACGTTTCGTGGCCCCATGGGGAGATCCACCGAAGGCTCCAGTGGCAGGGTTTGCATGCGTCCCCCCGCCCATTTCGGCACACCCTTCACGAGGATCGTGGCCCCATAGGGAGTTCCACCGAAGGCCCCTGCGGCAGGGTTTGCATGCGTCCCCCCGCCCATTTCGGCACACCCCTCACGAGAATCGTGGTCCCATAGAGAGTTCCACCGAAGGCCCCTGCGGCAGGGTTTGCATGCGTCCCCCCGCCCATTTCGGCACACCCCTCACGAGGATCGTGGCCCCATAGGGAGCTCCACCGAAGGCCTCAGCAGCAGGGTTTGCATGCATCCCCCCGACCAGTTCGGCACACCCCTCACGAGGATCGCGGCCCCATAAGGAGCTCCACCGAAGGCCCCAGCCGCAGAGTTTGCATGCGTCCCCCCGCCGATTTCGGCACACACACACACACACCTCACGAGGATCATGGCCCCATAGGGAGCTCCACCGAAGGCCCCAGCCGCAGAGTTTGCATGCGTCCCCGCCCATTTCGGCACACCCTTCACAAGGATCGTGGCCCCATAGGGAGCTCCACCGAAGGCCCTAGCGGCTGGGTTTGCATGCGTCCCCCCGCCCATTTCGGCACACCCATCACGAGGATCGTGGTCCCATAGGGGGTTCCACCGAGAGCGGTACCACAACGCGATACTTACAGCTGCATATGGTTGGGTCCTTCGCCTGGATATTTTTTGTACGCGGCCGCGCTTTTGCGCCCTGGCGCTCCTCCGGCACGCCCGCGGAGGGCATTCACGTCCTGAGTGGCTCCCGGTTCTGTGCCACAGTTCGTTCCCAGCGCGTCCCGCCCGTAGCCAGGGGCGCCTGCGCCTGCATCGGCTCGCTTGCGCCAGATGGCTTAGACAGTTGCCACGCTTCTTGGCTGCACGCATCGGTGGGGCTGCGCGCGATGCGGCAATGGTGGCCCGCGCGCTTGGGCTTGGCCCCCGCGCGCCCTCGGGAGCCGCGCACCGAGGGCCCCTCTTGCAGAGGGTCGCCCTTGCGCGCCGCCGACCCCTGGCCCCCAGCAGAGGGCGTCTCCCGGCCCCGTGGCCGTCCACAAGACGACTCGGGGTGCACAGCGGGCCCAGGGCCCGCGGAGGGGGTCCGCGAGGAAGCCCGCGCGGGCGAACGAG